TCACCTTCCATTATGGCTTTGAAGACTATAGGAGGTGTCATTTGGATTATGTATATTTGTACAACATAGAATTGGAATTTAGGGTTCATAATTTTTGGATTTTAATTTTTACTCAAAAACCCATCATTCTTAATCATTCTTAAATCAATATTTATGTGAATTAATCCAATATTTTTTGAGAACTTTGGTGGGGCATGGTGTTGTTGGGCATAATGATGGATAAAAATTAAATGAACCCCAAATGTTAGAAATCTAATGATTAGGGACAATAAGTAGTTCCAATTCTCACCTACTAAGACTTCCCCACTAACATTTAATTTAAACCAAAACCATACTTTATTCATTAATCAAACAAATCAATGACTTTTAAACCAAACCTTCCATTGTTTCCTCTCTAACATATCTTAAATTTTATAGCTGATTACGATCGATAAAGTTTCTTATCTTAAACGCTAAATGAGGTTATAAATTTATAAAACGAGCTAAACATCGAAATCCAAGTTTCTTGGTTGACTTTATATGAGGCTTGCTACCAGCGTCTCCTATTATGAGTCATTTTGGTCTAGCCTAATCTCGATTTTCTTGTCTTAACTCTGAACTAACTTATACATTGAAACTTGTTGATACACCACATTCATAAAAAGGTTTGTTGTTGTCATATGAGGGTCAAGTATTTTATCCTGTCCAAATTTTGATAGAAAAAAGTGAGCATCATATACGGGAAAGAAAAAAATGCTTGAAAGTCTACAAATGGAAGTGAAAATGGAGATGGTTCATATGAGGATTGTCACCTATGAAGAGTGTAGGAAGTTACACCTCTTCGACCTTCTAAACAAGATCCGCTAGGGAGAGATCATGAAGTTCAAGACAATAAACTTATACCTAGTTCGGATTCTAACATGATTGGGCAATCAAGCCCGTCCTTGAAAGATTTAAGGGGAGGGAATCAAACAAGAAATATCTAGAGAAAAAAAGTGTGACCAATAGAATTGTCGACAAGATACTAACGATATGACAACGAGGTCTTGAAAAGATGAAGCAATAAGATCAAAGTTACAAAGTCCAATCGAGAAAAAGTGGAAGTGACAAGCTAAGGCCAAAGTTAAGAGGTCGAGGTCGAGGTTAATGTAAGAAACCCTCCATGAAAAGTTGGTCTACTCAAAATCCAAAAGAAACTCAAGAACATACAGAGGAACATCATAGTAAGTTTTTCAAATCCTAAAAATGTTTTGACGTTTGACGATTAGGTCAAAACATTAATAACTTTCTCTAAACTAATTTTTCAAAACTTTTTTCTAAGAATAAGGGTGGACGTTTCGAAATTGAACCTTTGCGCAACCAACAATTCGAGTTTGAGTTGGTTGACTTATTCAAGGGCGATAGTAAGTGTCACACAATTAAACCGTATGCAACATCTTAAATAGAGAAGACATAAAGATTTTGGAGTTGCCCCATGACTAGCTTCTCCACCTTCTTTGTCACTCTCGTGCCCCAATCTTGCCCTTACCTAAAATTTATTTTAAAAACAGTGCGAGTATTAACATTAATCTGTAACGCGTCCCATTGGGGATAGATATGCAAACTATTATACAATAATCAATCAAAATCAAAACACCTTGGTGGTTTCGAAACACACAGCGTATAATCTATTCACCAAATACCTTTTTCAGCAATCATTCTTTAGTGACTATTGATGATTAGTTATCCGATACATACACATAGCGTGTAAGCTTTACTACACTCTTTGCATTTGTAAATCATAACATATATATATATATATACACAAAGTCCATAATGTAGGTCTGCCACTTATAGAAACATAGTTATTTGATGGGGTATGGTGCATTGAAGTTTAGAACAATAATGTTTTGTTCTTGTCTCTCCTAATTCTCTAACATTATTGTAACACACAAATAATTGCTTAATTAAAAGATAAATACTTTATTATACATAGAATTTAAAATTTTAATGAAAATGTTAAATTAAAAACTTAAAAAAGAGTAAAAAAAAAATATATATAACATAAAATTTAATTGCTTTTTAGTCAAATGGGTTTACTTTCAAATAATATATCAAATCCAAGTATATATCTGAATTTAATTTATTATTTTAATATATTTTTAATGTTCTTTTCAAATTGACAACACATAAATGGAGGATTTTAGGGGAATGAGACGTCAATATCAAATTATTTTTAAGTCAATTGTTGACTTTCAATTTTTCCTTCCAATTTCATATTTATTTTTATTTCCATGCCTTTAATTTTAGTTTTATTTATAATTTCAAAATAAATCAATTTTGTAATTTAAATGATTAATTATTATAAAAAGATTAAGATGTTTTAAGTAACATTAATTAGTGGGTTTTTTGGATTTTATATATTGGAAATAATTATTTTGTATTACTTTTATACAAAAAGAACCAATAATAAAATGTATAGATTTAATGGATAATTAATTAAATTAAGAATATTAAAAGTTTAAAGATAATTTATAAAATGTAGAGTTTTTTTTTTTTTTTTTTTAATATTAAAATGGTAAGACTTTTGAAAACCATTTGAAAATACTTTAGCAAAATGCACTCACGTATTTTCAAAAAGAAAATAAATATAATATTATTGGACTTATTTGGAACACTATTTGAAACAAAATTTATAATTTTATTTTAAAAAATATTTTACATTTTTATTCTTCAAATCCCATTTAAACTTTTATTTTCTTCTTTTAATTGTTTGTAGGTAGAGTCGGTAAGGTGAGGGAGTGTCTAAGAGATGTACGATTACAGAGAAGGTCGTTCCGAGGCGTCAGTCCATCTTGTATTTTAAATATTTTTTTAATTTCGTTTTATTTTCTTCTTTTAATTTGTCAACAGTGTCGTCTCACTTTTGTATTTAACAGTAATGTTATTTATTTTAATTTGATTCAAAAGTTACCATATTTTATAGTATACTTTTATTTTATTTTCTTTGGCTTTTATCTTTTTGGTCACCGTCCCAAATTTGAAACTTTCGAGTCGTGATAAATTAGTATGACAAATGTATTTCTCCCCGAATACCATCAATAATAAAGAAATAAAAATAAATAACCCTAGTGGAAATTAAATATAAATGAAATTTCGGTCAACAGAAACAAAAGAAAAGGTTGACCAAACAATCCTTTAATAGTGATAGCTTCTTCCTTTCTCTATCACAATCGTATGATCCCTTTGCCCCATCATAATCATGCCACGTATTCCCTTTTTTTTTTTTTTTTTAATTATCCATTTACATGCAAATTATTTATAATAATAATTACAACAATAAATATATATTACCCAAATTTAATCTAAAATAAATACAAAATTTAAAAATAAAAAATAAAAACTTTTGATAATGGATAACCTATATTAATTATTTAATCCTGATTTTAATTTGTTAATACTTCTAAAACTTTCATTATCCATTCTAATTAAAAAGCTTATCATCAATATTACAATTTTTATTTTATAATTTTTTTTTAACAATATAGTCCCTATCATTAAAAAAAAAAATTGTCAAACAAAAGTATCGATTTTTGTTTATTTAAATTAATTCGATATAATTTATTAATACACTCATTATTCAAAATAGTATAATACTTCAATAATTTTTTACGTATTAAATTAGTTAAATTAAAATTTTAAGTCTTAATTCCTTTAGGACGGGATAAAAATTTAAATATTGTTTATTTAATTTTAAATCAAATTTAGGTGATAAATAAAACTAAAATAAATAAAAAAAAAGAAAAAAAAATTATGTGGTATTACCGTAAATCCCGGATGTAACGTATTTATTTGGACACAAGCGGTTACCAGACGGCCCAGCCTAATGGTTCCAAACGATAGACCCACTCGCGTAATCCCACGCGCCACCGGTATTATTTTAAGGTGTGGACCCACCGGAGATGGTGGGGCAGGCGCGTGGGGTGGCAGCTTTCATATATTCACTGGCAGCCTTTTCTTTTTTGAATGTCTTTTTATTTTCTTTAAAGAAATAATAATAATAATAATAATTTTCACCAAGTAATCACTTTTTTACAAGAGGGAAGAAACAATGATGGTGTCATGGTGAAGCATGGAAATTTCAAAAGTATTTTCTAAGAAAAAAAAAAATATAAACATATAGTACTAAAATTATTTTTATAATTTGGTAATCCCGAATTTTTCTTTTTATTTAAATTTTTTATGGACATAATTAAAATACGAGCTTATTTTAAATAAGTTGACTTTTGTTATAGCTGATATCAGTTAATAAATTTATTTGTTGGTTACTCACATATAAAAGGTTGCTTTTATTATTGAAGGTTTATTTAACGTATATTTTGAAGTAAATTGCTTTTGATATGAGTTTTTTTTTTTTTTTTTTAGTCTTTATTTTCTTCTTCAAAATATTAATTAATTGACTTTTGAAATCTACTTTTTTCAAAATTACTCGGGTAGATTCTTAAAATTATGGACGAAGAATCTAACTTTATTGTTTCTATTAGGGTAAAGATATTCTAACTATTTAGCTACTGTTATTGCCAAGAAAATACTCAAAATCACTGTAAAAAAAATACAAAAAAGTGATAAACTGATTCTAGCATTGATCGAACTTCTACGATGAAGAGAAAACTCACGGGTTATGAGAAATTAAAATAATTGAATGAATCGAAAAAACCAAATAACAGCAAAAAGCAAGTTGTATGAAATAAAAGATTGGATCTTTAATGTGAAGAAGAATACAAATCCTCATGAATTGAAGAAAAACAAATAGTTGTGAGGGGTATGATCAGAAATTTGGGGGTTTGTAGGGTACTGTTGGAATACTACGAGAGATGTGAAGGAAGGGCAAATTTGCAAATTTTCATTCTTTTATTCATTCTTGCTGACAAAAGGGGACATGCCAAGACCCAGGACAGAGAGGCCAGTGACACACAGACCAGGTCTTTGGGTCCTTCAGCCTCTTTTCCATTTAGCCCTTCTCCTCCTTTTTTTCCCCCTTTACAAAAAGCATGCCATAACCAACCTCTCTCTTTAGATTCTTCCTCTTCTCCTTCTCCTTCTCCTTCTCTTTGTTTCCCCCTTTCTTTTTGCTCTCCTCTAGCTGGAAGACCTTGTTTCTGATCTGGGTTTGCCTTGGTTCCATGTTTTTCATCTTACTTTTCCTGTAATCTGTAAGTTTTCTTGGAGTTTTTGAGCTGCATTTTGTTGTTCATCATCTGGGGTTTTGTTGTTTCTCTTTTTTTAAACCCTTGAAGCGTTTTTTTCCACTTTGAAGTTGATTGGAGATGAATTCTTTGCCTGGTAGCACCTTTTTTGATTCTGGGTTTCTTCTTTTATTGAATTTATTGGTTGCTTTCTGTGTTAATTTGTCTTAATTAGTATGAATGAGTCATTGAGTAACGTAGATTGGAGGGTTCGGACTGTAGCTTCCTACACCTCTTTTTGTTTACTCTGAATGTTGTGTTTCTATTTTCATTTCCTTTTTGTCCTCTTAAGTTTCATCTCTTTTACTGGAAAGAAACACTACATTTCAAGAACAGCGGGATTTCTGTGTGGATTTTCCTTTCTGGGTGCGAAATTCTTCCATGATTCTGTTTGTTCTTTGGCCATGTGGGTTTGACAAAAACATTCTTCCTTGGGGAGAGATAGATTTTTGGTTGCATCCGTTGGAGTTTTGTTGAAATTTGGTGGATTTTTTCAGGGATTTGGTGAAAGAACAAACAAATATGCTTCTAATCTTCCATAGTTTGGTTTACTTACTAAATCTTTTTATGTTGTATAAAGTTCTTGTCTACTTGATTTGTTCTTTGTTAACCTCTCCCTCGATCCGTTGATTCGCCCTAAAATTCAATTGATCTGCTATTAGGTATTGATTAATGTATGAGATGAAGTATAAGAATGCATTTTCCCCATCTGGGGCATTGGATTGTTCTTATTTTTCATCATTGGATTTACATGAAAAGTGAATCTCCTTGGTTTAATACAGAATCGATTTTGGATCAATGACGAAGATTAGTCCTGAGTTTGAAGAAACTGTGAACATGGAGGCAATGTTGCCAGTTTCGGTTGATGTTAGCTTTGCTTCGAATCAATTTCCGAAATATAAATTAGGACCTGACAATCAGATTTTAGAAGAGCCTCAGGATGTAAACCAGGGCCCTTCTCTTAAAGAGGTTATCGAAGAGGAAACTACACACTTGTCTGAGCAGCATAAGCGACTCTCGGTTCGTGACCTTGCCTGTAAATTTGACAAGAACTTGGCCTCTGCTGCTAAGCTGTCTGATGAGGTTCAAACTACTTTGACAAGCACTTCTATATTTTCAATTCTATATCGCGTCTCTCATTTAACTGAATTGTAATTGATGTTCTTTGGGATTCAGGCAAAGCTCAGAGAAGTGCCTTCACTGGAGGGACATGTTATTTTGAAGAAGCTTCGTGATGCTTTGGAGTTTCTGAAAGGTCGATTGGCTGGACGAAATAAGGAGGATGTGGAGAAAGCTATCTCCATGGTTCGTATCTCATGACTTTTCATTTCCAATTGATCGTTATAGCTCATGTTGAACTTTGATATCGAAAGCTTCACTCACAACACTTCTCTGGCCATAGGGGTAAAGATATTCTCTTGGTGTATATTTGTTATTTGTTCAAATTGTTACGTAAAATCGTCAATCTTTTTTCTTGTTTTTGGTGCACGTTCTTTACTGGTGAGTTTGTTGATCTCTTCGATAACGATTGAGCTCATGAAAGTTGTATAAAGCGCCTAATATTAACAATCTCCCTCCCCGTTTTAGTTCGTTGATCACTTTAATCCTTCCTTTTGGAAACGAAGTGTCGTTCGTATTGTTTGTTGTTTTCCTCGTAATCTTTGTCGTAAGTGTTCTCAATATTTTGCATTCCTTGCCATCATAAATCGTTCAGGTGGAAGCTTTAGCTGTGAAGTTAACTCAAAAAGAAGGAGAGCTGATTCAAGAGAAGTTTGAAGTGAAAAAGTTGGCTTCCTTTCTCAAACAGGTTATTAGATTCACATTCTTAGATAATGTTTACATCACTTCAATATGTTATTCTTATGATCTGTCTGTACAATTATCCCAAGTATATATTTGCAGATGTGGGTCCCATGTTCACACATCGGACCCACATTTGACGTATTTCACATGTCAAGTTATTTATTATTTGTGTGAGATCCTACATCGGTTGGAGAGGAGAACGAAACATTCTTTATAATGGTGTGGAAACCTCTCCCTAGCAGATGCGTTTTAAAAACCTTGAGGGGAAGCCCGAAAGGGAAAGTCCAAAGAGGACAATATCTACTAGTGGTGAGCTTGAGCTCTTACGAATGGTATCAAAGCCAGACATCGGGCAATGTACCTGCGAGGAGGTTGAGCCCCAAAGGGGGTGGATACGAGACGATGTGTCAGCAAGGAGGTTGAGCCCCCCAAAGGAGGGTGGACACGAGGCGGTGTGCTAGGAAGCTGGGCCCTGAAGGGGGGAGTGGATTGTGAAATCCCACATCGGTTGGAGAGGGGAACAAAACATTCTTTATAAGGGTGTGGAAATCTCTCCCTAGCAGATGCGTTTTAAAAGCCTTGAGAGGAAGCCGGAAAAAAAAAGTCAAAAGAAGACAATATCGGCTAGCGGTGGGCTTGTATTTTCTTAGTAGCAATCCCAAACTAATATAACTTTTTTTTTTTGTGTACTTTAGGCTTCGGAAGATGCTAAGAGGTTGGTTAACCAAGAGAAATCTTTTGCTTGCGCTGAAATTGAGAGCGCAAGAGCTGTCGTGCAGCGAATTGGGGAAGCTCTTGATGAACAGGAAAAAAATTTGGACGAATCGAAAAAACAGGTATATGCACGATCAGCTCATTGTAAAGAATCAGCAATAAAAATGAGCGATATGACCGAAAATATGATTGATATATGCACGATCAGCTCGTTTTCTCCCTTATTTTCTCGTACGATCTGCATTAACTGGAAGCTTATATATAAGAGATGCCTTTTATATGTGCCATTAAGTTTATCTGTATAATCTTCATTCACTTTTAGCATCAGTTGATAAAAATTACATCATATTGACAGAACGTCGAAGGACTAGTAGATGAAGTTCAAGAGGCTAGAAGAATTAAACTATTGCATCAACCAAGCAAGGTAGATCCGAATATCAGGTCGTTTGTTTCGGTTTCAAATCAAAGATTCCGATCCTCCTTAAAATTTCAAATAAGGATATGCAATTACCGGGAAGTTAATCATCTTACACTCGATTCACTTATTATTTAAACTCGTGTTTATATTTGCATAGGTGATGGGCATGGAACATGAGCTACGTGCGCTGAGAGCTACAATTCGAGAAAAAACTATAATCTCCGCAAAGCTTCAAAGAGAGGCATGTTACGAAATTAGGATTTACGTTTGGATTATTTTGATGCATACGAGTTGCTAACCTCGCCTTTATTATTTATCCAGCTCACAATGTGCAAAAGGGCTGCAGAGAACAAGTCGAGTTTATACGACTTGGATGGTTCGGAAACTCTAGGTTCATCTTTGAGAATCAAATGTGCCTCAGATGCAGCACCCCCACTCTCAAAATGTTCTATTCAATGGTATCGAATGTCGTCCGATTGCAGCTGGAAGCAAGTAATTACAGGTAAACATTTTGTTTTAGACCTCGACTCAAGCTGGATAATAGGAGCTTTGTCAATCTCATTTAGGTTCATGAACACACGGTACTCGATCATAAAACATCGATACCGTGGACTTTTTCGTTGTATTGTCTTGCCTTTTGTTCATTACCTGGTTTAACATATTCCTCTTAGTATTAGTTTAGTTTGTTTTCTGCCTTAACAGTTTCATGTTCTTATCAGGTGCGACCAAGTCGATCTATGCCTTGGAACCTCTCGATGTCGGGCGAACCTTACAAGTGGAAATAGTGTCCAATGGCCAAAAAGTGGACTTGATGACAACCGGTCCCATCGAACCTGGTTGGTTTTTCTCATTGACATTTATGAGTCATATTTCGCCCGGCCTAGCCGAGTTAAGGAAAACTGACAAAATCACCTTCTACAGTTTCAGGACTCGGAACTTATGTTGAGACGCTCATGCAAAAATCCAACTCCGAATTCAATGTATGATTATCCTCTCTGATTTACATCCGATATATGCATGTCTACTTTCAAATTTGTGTAAACTTCGTCCCGGCCTTGGCTGTACGTAGTAATCCGAAAGTTCGATCATGCTATACCTGTACTTAGCATACTGAGTTCTTCCCTCGAAGCGAAGCGATGCGATAAATGAAATTACATTAGATTATGAGGGTAATCATGCTGGCGACTCTCTGAACATCGATTCTCGTTCGATTCTAAATCTGCAGGTAACTATATCCCAGATGAACGGACAAGATTATTCATCACATTCTGTTCATGTATTTCATGTTGGGAAAATGAGAATGAAGCTTTCCAGAGGTTGGATAACGAAGGCACGTGAGAATTATTCGTCTTTGATGCAGGTATCGTAACAAGTTATTTATTTTGCAACTTGGGTATCAATTGTTATGAACATTGAAAACGACGCCGAGCGAAAAGAATGGACGATTTCTTTCGGTTCTTTTTGGGATAAGAGTTTAGTGAAAACGTGCTTTCGATAGCTGTTTCCAAAGCTATGTCATGTTGGAGAGGGGAACGAAACATTCTTTATAAGGGTGTGGAAATCTCTCCTTAGCAGACGCGTTTTAAAAAACCTTGAGAGGAAACCCGAAAGGGAAAACCCAAGGAGGACAATATGTCTATTCTTATCACCTCCCTCTTCAACTCTAGCTATGCGGAGTTCGAGATGACCGAAGTACCGCAACCAAGGCACTATTCTGGCAAGGAAGGAAGGGACTATCGTTCGTGTTGAAATTCGAATCAGAGCGAGAAAGAAACGCCGCAATCATGCTTGCCAGAAAATACGCCAACGACTGCAATGTAAGTAATTTCTTTGAATCATATTCATTATGACCCCATTCCATTTCACTGTGCTTGGTAAACTCTCCCAACCCGTTTTTGTGCATAAACTCTCGTGTCTATATGAGTTCTGAAGCTTAAAAAAACATACGATTCGACAGGTGATGCTGGCTGGACCAGATGATCAAGTATAGAAGTGAAACCTAACCAACTGATCTTCGTGTTAGAAACCCGAGTTTTTTTTTTTATTATTTTTTTTAAAGCAGGGTTTTTTTAGGAGTGTGATAGTACTATGGGTTGTGAGTGAAGAAAATTTGGCTTCTTTGTAATGTAATTTTGTTCAATTTTTTTTTTTATTTTGTTCACTAATCATGTTGAGCTGTTTTAGGCATCCTTTTTTATCTGCCTAATCATCTGTTGTAACAAAGCTTATTAAGTTTCTCATTATCAATTGGTTGATTTGTGATTGATTGTTCCATTTTCGGGTAACGATTTCGTTTTTAGTTTTAGTGATATCCGTTACATATGTTGTTTATACTCCAATTTCAGCTTCGGTTTCTTGTATGAACGATTCTCGACAGCTAAACATCATAAACTGAGGTCGATTTGCAGGATTATGCACGTTGTTCTTGTCAGCACTTAATGCAACCGAATCGAGTTAAATTTTTGTTTTATATTCCCCGGCTGTTGGATCGAACTCTACCTTTCAAATTAGTTTTAATTGATAGGATTGTTGTTCGATATAATTATTAGTTTAGAGCTTTAATTGGAACGATTCCGGAGATTTAGGGGTATAAATTGATTATTTATTTGGGGTAAGTAGCCATAAATGAGTGATCCAATGCTCATGGGCTTGGGTCCTTAACGCCCAAGATAATTCTAAGGGCACATGTACACGTCTTGGTTGAGCTCTAAAACTGAGTCGGGGAGGAATGTCAACCACTCTTTGAGGGTAAAACGTCGTTATTACTACGTTCTAAGTATTGACTTAAACATTAAGTTTGACATAATACCACATTGATGCGAGTTGTATATTGAATGTTCGATTAGCCTTTAAACTCTGCACCCGCTCGTTAGATTCTTGCATCAAACTATCGATTTTGTATGGTTAAATGTATGGAAGAAGATGTCGGTTACGAGATAATATGTTTCAAGATGTAAGTCGGACTATTTGAAGTCAACCTAATGGATAAAATTTGTCTCTAAAGTCAACCAAAGCAATGGCTGACTCGGGATGAAAGCAGACCCCAAAACCGGAGGGAGAAATTAAATGGGTCTGTGTTGTTTTGGGTAATTTTGTGTAATTCAGATATGGAAAGTAAAAATTTGGATTTCTTTTGCTATAAATCAACAACCCTTCTTCAATTTCAATTTCCCTTCCGCCGTTGAGCCCTTTCGTTGTTCTGTAGGGATAAGATTCATCCAGACCCCTCTCTCTCTCTCTAGAGATTTCTCTCACTGTCTGTCTCGAAGAAGAAGAAGAAGAAGAAGAAGAAGAAGAAGAAGCTTCAAGCCTCTGATTACGGTAGTGAGAGAAAGTCTTCAGAGAGAGAAAACGATGGATTCGATTGATGGCCTTCCAGATTCCCTCAAAGAGAAACTCTCCATGGTTGACCCCTTTTTGGTCGAGGCACTTCAGAACCCTCGACACCGTCTAACCAGTCAGTATTTTCTCTTCTCTTAATTTTGATTCAACTTCGATTTTAGATTCTTCTCTGTTTCTGTTCATATCATATGTTTTAGGTTTAATCTGTTATTGGTCTTCTTCTGAACAAAGGGTTTAAGTTTTTGCCCCAATTTTGATGCCCTATGCTTAGTACTCTTGGATCTTATGGCCATTTACTTTAAGTTTTTGTTCGTTGAGTTATGTTTTTGTTAGATTTTCTCTGCTCATTGTAGTTTAATTGTCACCATAGTTCTGCGAATGGAACTCGATATCCAGAGGTTTTTGGAAAATCAAGAACATCAAGTGTTTGAGTTCCAACACTTCCCTACGTCGTATCTTCGACTTGCAGCTCATCGTGTTGCTCAACATTACGGCCTGCAAACTATGGTTCAGGATAATGGCATTGATGGACAAGGGAGAATTCTGGTGAGGAATACTGGTGAAGCTAGATTCCCGCCTATCTGCTTATCTCAAATACCTGCAAAACAGTCTGTTGATGATGAACTTGGGTGCGTTAAGATTGCGATTAGACCGAGGTTGAATAAGTCATCTGATGATGCTGGCAATGGTATGGCTAGGCAATGTCTTGGTAGGACTGTGGAGCAGAGGATGGAAGAGTATGATAAGGCTCGTGCTCGAATATTCAGTAGACATGGGAGTACTGTATTGTCTAATGCCTTCCCTGAGGAGAAAGATATATTGGCAAATGGAGATGGAGGAGAAGGGTGTAGAGTGAATGAAGTTGAGAAGTATACGAGTATCAAAGATGCCGGGAGTGAGGCTACTTCTCGGGTTGCCATTTTAAGAGATAGGGAAAAGGATCTTAGTGACCCGGATTATGATCGGAGCTATGGAAGGTAATGCAAACTTGGACTACGTATGTGGAATTCGAGATGTTTTTGGATGATGTACGCATATGCAGCTAGGCCATTGTGCCATCGTGCCATCGTGCCATTCTTATGGAGTGTATTATATCCGTTCTTTGTAGTATTATCTGAATGCTTGAGTGTTTAAATGCATACTAATCAGAACCTATTCCTTCGTTTGTAGGTATATTAGGAGCCTTCCGATTAATCCGACTCCGATCATGAATTTTGCTCCTTTTACCGTGCAAAGCATCCCGCCTTCATTTACTGGTTACCATGTACCTCGGAACGAGGTTTCGTTGGGCTATGTTTCTCCTTCACCTATCAAGACTGCAGGATTGAATCAGATATCTAGAACCATGGCCAATGTGCCTTGGCCATATGCAGGGATGCTGCACGCTCATACTACTTACCGGGTACGCATACGATCTTTACACTATACAAGTTCTGCTTTATCTTATAAAAAATAGAGTAGCTACAAAAAGGATTAGACAAAGGACGTGTGAACTTCAACTAAGTCGATCACTTCGACCTCCACCGGATTCTTTACCTTTCCTTAGAATGTTTGTGAGCTTCACTCGATTCTTGTACTCGATAGAACTGCTCTTAGTACATTTACCTCAAGATCTTTCCCTTGGTGCTTCGAATATGGCTATAGAACTGTTAGAATGGTGTCTCGTTTGCTTTTTGAACTCCCTCATTTGCTCATGTTTGACTCTTCTAACACACTTGAATAAGAGAGCCCATTAGAACAACAAAATAGTGTTTTGGTTGATATTTGTTCTAAGAACTGCTCTCTCTATTTCATGGTCGATTGATCAAGGTTATCACATGCTTGTTCTATTCTCTCTGTTTTCGGACCGATTCATTAGAGTTATCACCTTCTACTGAATATTTGTTCTATTCTCTCTATTTTAGAGTTGATTCATTAGGGTCGTCACCTTCCATCCGAATACTTCTACCCTCTCTCTTCCGGGGTCGATTCATTAGTGTGATCACTTTCTACTCAAATACTTGTTCTACACTCTTAGTTACAGGGTCGATGTCGATTCATTAGATTATCACATTTTAATTTTTCAATACATTCTTTGTTTCAGGGTCGATTCATTAGGGTTATCACCTTCTACCTGAATACTTGTTCTATACTTGTTCTATACAAACCCGAAGCCTCATTTGATTTTAGTTTTCGTTCAATTATGGCCAATTAGTTTGGGTTGATTTAGTTGTGGTGTTATTGCAGGCTCCATTGTACCAACAGGCTTTGAGGTCAGAGTATGTGCAATACCATTGATTAAAACTGATTTTACTTTACTTAGGTAATCATATTATAATATATATACTCACTATGTTGCTTCCGAACCTCCAATTATAATCAATTATTTTAATTTAAAACCTTTTATTTATACTTACTATTCTTTTTAATGTTCATTATTCACTGTCTTTCTTCATCAATGATTAATGGAAAATTATTATTTAAAAATCAGCAAATTAAGTATTTCTCAACTTTCCATTTCAACTCATTATCTACTTCCACTAAATTAAAAAAATACCTAAAATTCCTTAAATCTTTTAATATTTTCTAAAAATATTTATTATTAGTTTCCGATTGTAATGCTTCATTTTGAAAATACTTTTAACATTTATAAATATTTTTTTAAAAAAATATTAATGATAAGTATATTTTTTTTAATTTTAAATAAAGTTCAACGCTATTTTTTGAGCACTTTTGTAAGTTAAAAAATATTTTTACTCTTAAATATTAACATTTTAGATTTAAAATGAATGATAAAGTTATTTTTAATTTTTTTTTTTTAGTTTAAAGATATTATTAAAATTTATTAATTTTAGCCCTAACAAAAATACAATTAAATTTAGTTTTGCATAAGTAAATTAAAAAAACAATAACAAATTGAATTACATTTAAAAACTCACAAATTTTCTCTAAAAAAAAGAGTTTTAATTTCGGTTTTCTCCACAAGTTGATTTTTCTTTTAATGATGATAAAATTTTTAAGTTTAAATATTGTAATTGAGGTGCATTTTGATAAAATTTAAGTTTTTCGGTATGAAATGTTTGTTGCTATCTGTTACAATAAGATAAGGAATAGTTGGTTTAACTGAATAACTAAATAAAATAGATAGACCTTGTCTTGGTCTTAGGTCCCATCTTCTTCATTGAAAGATCCCCTATATGGACAATACACATTCCAGTTCAACGAGCTTAATTCTAATTGTTTTGGGAGTGGTTCGTCCTATTCAGATATTCACGACCAAGAAACACTGGATCCTCTTTCAAATTTGTCAAAATTTAGTACAACTTATTTAATTTGAATTAGTCAAAATATTCATAATCAGCTAATATTTGGAGAATATATTAGTTATAAAATATATCTGAATATTAGTAATTAGTTAATATTTTTTTCTCTTTATGATTTTATGATTTGATTTGGAGTATATTTTATTTTATTGTCAAGATTTAGTTAATTTATATTTTGTACGTATTAGTTGATATAAGTTATGAATATCAATGAAAATTGAACTTGATCTCAATTCTTTTTCTCATTCTTAAATTCTTTCTTGAGTAATAATATTTTCAGATTTATTCACACCTCTGAGGGTAGACATGGTGTCAAAATTGATATAATTTCAAGTGCAAGAGAAATTTCGGATATTTTTCTCAATTTTAATTTATCATACGAATCGATTAATAAATAAACTACATTCAATTCTAAACGACAAAAGCTCATATTAAATAACTAATAATAAATTAATTTAACTCTAAATTTCTATGCATATATCTCTGAAGTCTTCTTTAACTTTTCAAAATGTTACCTAAACTTTTGATCCATTGACGAAACGTGACAAACATAATTATAGTT